TTTTCTCAAAACCATATTTATAAACTTAGGTTTTTCTCAAATCATCAAATTTAGTTTTAAAATACATGCTTAGCCTTCATAAATCATTTTACCGCATTCACCTTTAATTTTCTACTAAGTCAAGTTCATGGCCACAAAAACAAATCATAAATATCATCTTATAACTTTATCCATAATAAAACATGACTAAAGAATGATTATTAAAGCCTTGACAAAATACTTTCTTTTTGACAAATATGAATACTTTATCAAGAGATCATCGTCATATACAACACATCATATTACTGGACATTATTGGGAGGATGGTTACTGAGATCGAGTTTCATCAGAACACTCCCTTCGTGCTTATATATTTGAATGAGCCACACCCATCTCTCATGTGTTATACTTAAGCTCAAAGCCTACGATCAAACCACATCTCCATGTGTATTACTACCTTAATTAGTTCATACTCAAGCATAAGGAAACATAAAAATACAAGGTATTCAAAATTGACTCTTTCAAATTTATTAGCACCTATCACCTATGTCCATACACTACATACTTATTCATAAAACAAATAGCCAAAAGACTAAATAAGTATATGAAACTTAAAATAAAAGTTTATTGAATCATATTTCCTATATGACATTACCATGCAATGTGTGATACATTTCATACCATGTAGTATGATACTTGGGCTTTATTGATTTGTTGTTTTTACTTGTTTGACAACCTTTTGTGATATTGGAAGAGCACGTAACTGATGGATAATATATTGATCATCGGCTTCATATGTCACGAAGTGCCCATCTCTTCGACACTTGGATTATCCATGTCTCACACCATAAAAAAAATACTATTATTCATCTCATGATTTCAAATATCACAAATTTGAATCTCCCACTTAGCTTTAACGTTTTTTTGCTATCGTCGAGTATATTTATGTATCCCTTCATTTGGAAAAAACCAATATGCTTTTATAGGTATTGTGTTTCTTATTCTTTTTGCTATTCTCAGATCGAATACTTTTCATATAGAGTGTCATATATTGTCAACTCTGTATTACATATCTCTGAAGTTTTACTATAATAAACCATACTCATAGCGAGCCATTAAAAAAGTCTCTATAATTAGGAATCTAAAGATGTGCCTTAACATGCCACATCTTTTAATTTACTACACAATAGAACATGAACAACCCATGATAAAAATATGACATCTCTCAACTCATAATGAGTTTATCTCCAAATCCTTTTGAGTATTAAAATCGACTAAAAAATATAAAATATTGCTCAATTCCATCACTAAATCATATCATTTAGTGAATATTCGTTTTAGTGATATTTATGTACCAATGCAATTTTTTTAACAGAAAATCCGGTTAAGCACCTCTCAATAAAAAATTTATTTATCTCAATCTTCAAAGAATTTATTCATGAAGTATTTTGTGTTGAAAACTAAGTTCAAAGCCAAATCATAATATCATGGTATGAATCCCAAATATTATTTTTTTCAGATAAATAAATAAGTGACATTCACGTCACAAAATAAATCATACTGCAGAATTTCAGAATGAATACTATCTAGTAAAAATATATTTTCTCTTTACTCTCATAAAGTTTCTCTTTTAAACCAATTTTGTTTAAAAATAAACACATAATGGTAATACATATGTTTCCACAAGCCTCATATTATTATGTTAAGTAGGCTTTCATGTCTCAATGAAGAATATACTAAATTGTAGAAAATTCAGGATGACATATCTTCAATCCAAAATTTTTATTCCTCTCTTCCCGTATATATTTTTCTCTCAAATAAATTTTATTAGAAAGTACACTCAGAATGGAATTTTAAAATCTTAGCGTGGACCATAAAATATTATGTTAAGAATATAAATAAAATCATGGCTTCCAAGTCATTGAAAATAGTTTTCGTTACAAAAAACATCACTTGCGCACCCTTCAATAAATAGACTGTATCTTTCATACTACATCAAATTTATTGTTGAAACTATTTTTGTTTGAAAGTAGACTCAGTTTGATGAGGTATAGGTAAATTTCAGCTAGAAAAATCACATAACTCAATGTATAGTTTCCAGATTTTGCAGGGTCAGAACTGACACCCTTCATTGATGAGTCCATAACTCTCAATTCTCCTAGGGTCTCCTACTAAAATTTTGCAGGTAGTTCCTACACTCAAAGACATACAATATCACTGAAGTATGCAATGGAAAAATACATCATTATTTTATTCATATCACTGCTCCAAAATAGCTCAGAATACCCATTTTGTTGAGTACCTTTTTCGGCTTTTGAATATTCCAATAATTCTTAACCATGGATGTATTACGTGACCATAAAAGTCATTAACTTTATTATATTTCATTTTCAAGCTTGGTCTAGACTCAATAAAGAAGAAAAATAATTAATAGCATCAAGTATCAATAACTTTGATACCAATGAAAGAAAGACTAATGTGTCGTGGGATATATTTATTTATTTTTCTTTTTTTCACCTATTTTTTTTTTCATTTCTTTTCTTTTGGCAAAAGATTACTTACAAGTAGTCTTATTACAATAACTCTAGCTTTAAAGAAAATAAAACTAACAAATCCAATATCTTAAAAACCTTGATGCATTAAACCAATTTTATTTAAATAAATAAAATATCCACAACTCTTGTGTTCGGGAATATACAGACAATATAATTAAATATGACAAGAAATAAAAAGAAGAAGAGAGTGCTAGATATTACCTCAATTGAGCTTATTACACTCCACACTGAGTCACCATCATCCGATGGCGCATGATCAACGATCAACCTTCAATCTCAAACTGGGAAAACAAGTTTAGGCTTAGTGACACCAATGAAACGTGAATCCTTTTGATCACAAACTCAAACCCTAAGTAAATTCCTTTAGCAACCTAGTTTGATAGTGATGCTTTTCATTTCTACCGCAACCCTAAAGTCTAAAAAACCCAATGGGAGATGAGAGATCATGAGATACACCATGAGCGAGATGACAACTCTTAATAGCCTAAATCCCTTAAAGATCTCAAAGATGAAAGAGAGGGGCGTGCCCCATTTGGGATTTCATGAGAGAGGTAAACTTTTATTAAGAGAGATAGAGATATAGAAAAATAATGTATAAAAATTTTGGGTAGAGACAATCCCTTTTTATATGCTTTGAACAATATATAGGGTTTTTTTTTGTTTGCCTCTTATTGTAAAATTAAGTATGAACTATTGATATTGAGTGACTTGTGGGGTGAGAGATTTGAGTCATCAATTTCATAGATAGGCCATCAACATTGTGGAATAAGCATTTATCCCCAATTCCTAAACTATTTTTTCATCTATAAAAATAAAATAATATAGTGCTTACCAAAATTATGCATAAGTATTATCATACTTTCCAAAATCCATTGAAAGCTTCCTCAAGGCAAAATATTTTCAAAACTTTCTCTTTACTCCAAAGCTTGAATTAACACAAGGAAACTTTCATAGGGTGGGGTGTGACACCCTAGGTGGTACTTTATGGGCCCCACCTAAGGTGGACGGACCTATTAATATATTGGGTCTCTTATGCAATATTAAAATTAATAATATGATTTTTAGAAATCCACAAAATCAAATTTGAATATTTAAATCAATCTAAAATCAATATCTATGTTTTTAGAAATCCAAATTTGATAAATAAAATATCCAGAAATCTAGAAAAATTCAGATAATAATTCTAAAAATTATGTATAATTAAGAAACATATAATTAAATTCATTAAAGGAGAAAATGATCTATATGGTATAATATTAAATAGAAAACACTAGGGCACTCCATCTTCAAATGTGGACTACGGTCCACACTTGCTGTATCAAATCGACTCAATGTTTCCCATGACCCACAGTCCACGCATGGGCTCGTTAGTGAGTCACCAAAGATTCATAATCCCAGTTTGTGGATTTCAGGTTATCCCCTAGAGAAGTACTAAGGTCACTTAGACCTGATGCGACCATAGCTCATACGGTACATAGGGGTATCTTTTGCATATGCATAAGCTTCACCCTAAAAGGTGGTTCAGTTTCCTGAAACAACTATTAATATACATGCCGTCTGATGGCTCACAAGTGAGGCTTTGGCCTAGTCTTTGAAGGGCACCATCACACATAAGAGTCACATAGTCCCTCGACGTACTCATCCGGGCATACTTCGACCTCATAAAGAGATGATCTATTAGAACCCTTAATGATAGTTTTCTATGCTAAGGTGGTGACATATGTTTTTCCCAACAAGACTAACCTAGCACGTCAAGCACAATCTAGTATCAACAACCATCGTTTACTTAGTATGGTCCACAAGGGACCACACTCCCAATAAATTTATGTTCCACTATATCATTTAATTTTATAAGCACTAATAAAACCTTTAATGGCCACATTCACCCAATATAAAATACCTAAGCATGCCTTCAACATCTATTTTGTTTTTCTTTTTTATGATCAAGACCATCAACCTAGTGTGGATGAGAATCTAAATTATTTAACAGACATTAACTTCTCGATTACAGTAACCTCAATGGATATGACCCCTATGGCTAGAACTTTTATACAAGTTGTCAAACACAATATTTGCCACATCAAAAAAATCTAACTTCCATCCAAAAAAGTGCAAAGCTTTCGATTATCAAACTGACCCCTTGAAGGGGCACAAAAGACAAAGTGTGGATAAATTACACTAAAGATTTACACCGCCTAACTGAAATATACTTTTATTAAGATTAGTTTATGGGTTGAAGACTTTAGACCTAAAAAATAGTCACAAACTGGTTTTACCGAGGGAATAAATGGATAGTATGGTCCTACGACGGTATGAAATTCTTTGGCACGTGGGTTCAACTAGTCAACCTCCATAGTACGTGGGGATGAGGATACCGGACGGATGGTTTTCGGTATTTTGAGTCACCCATGTTTTTTTGGTTTTTGATGGATGAGGCGTGATGAGTATTAGATCAGCCAAATCTTTTCATGGAAAGACATCCGTATCCACTCGAGCCTTTTCTGAAAAGGCCAACGTCCCCAGCCATCGTCGAAGAGCTTTAGCTGGCAGGCAGAGCAGGAGAGAGTGGGAGAATCTTATTCCTTTTCAAACCAAGACAACGCTGGTTTCCGTTCTCGTCTTCCCGAGGTTGAAACAAGTAAAGGCTCGCTGCTTTGACTGATAGTGTACTGTGATGGAAATTGGGTGTGCCCTCCCCGCCTCTTCTTCAATACGTGGATATTAATTGTTTCATATTTTACCGCAATATCAATCAATTTTGCAGATTGTATGGGAGGGGGTTCCATCAATTGAGGAGTGAATTTGGTACAACTTCTCCATTTTAATGATTTTCGATGTTTTTAGTCGTCTCACTGCTTTTTTGTGTTCCCTTTTATTCCTCAGTCTCCTTTCTCCTCTATCTCCATCATCTTTGCTACTGGTTTGAAATGCCTGGTCTAGATGCTCACGTTTTAATGTTTAATTATCATAGGCTTAGTTCAATACGTTTTAATGGAATGGATGATTTGCAATCCATGGTCAAAGTTCAAAAAATAAATAAATATCATAGGCGTAATTTTATTCTTTCGCCTGGGTTTATTCAAGGCCTTGAAATGGTTATCTGCTTTGTTGTCACTTCTTCGCTGAGGGGATCCACTCTATAATTTACTCCAGAGTCTCACATGACGCGTAATCAGGGTGAGTTCCTGATGATTTTCTCCAATTTGTGTTCCATTGACTTGCAGGTCCAAGTGGAATGAGTGTATTGCACCATGCAGAGTCACACGTAGCGGTCCAGATTGTGCAAGGGGTCAACTCCACAAGGAGTTGGATTCATCCTAAGGGTAGCAAATGGCATGCACATACAAAGATAGGTTTGAAGACAAGTGAGTCCCACCATATGTCCATCATATAATTACAACAACAGTGTCATAATTCATTCCCAGTTCCAAGTCAAACTTGCTACCCAGTTGTATGGTGCTTATGTTGCTTTCTGTTTTTCCTAATGATTTTGGGGCTTTCAAATGTTGTGGCTTATTTTTTAACATTTATTATGTCGTCTTCATCAGGCAGTAAACGCTAGGGTTTTTTTTTTGCATGCCAACAATGTTTCAGGTACTGCATTGCTTCTTCCCATTGCTCTACTGCATTCTATTCACTCATTTTTTTCTATTGATGTGGAGGCATGAAGTGTATTGTTTTATGCATTTGGACTGATTTCTACTTTATCTTCTTAATTGTTTCATTGTATGACTCCTAGGCACTTATTGAGCTTCGCTGCATGTACACATGTGCATATGCACATAATATGCACACAAACACACATCATCTGTGATACATCATTGTCAGTGATTTCTCCTTTCTTAGGAAAGTCTGTATTTGTCTATGAATAGTTTTCTTAAGTATTATTTGAGCTTTGCATGGCAGTGGCTTCACTAAGTTTTACCTTTTCTTTTAACTTTTTTTTTGTTTTTTCGATTTTACATAGGTTGTTGATATGATGTCCATTGTTGAAGAGCTGAATTACCTTAGCTTGCATGAGCTTAATAAGCTCCTAAGGGATTCAGAGAGTTTTACTCTACACATCAATGCCGGAAAAGAGTCATTTATGCAGGTGACTATTTAAGTCATGTTTAATCGAATGATAATTCACTGTTTCAATATTGTTAATCTCGATAATGGATTTCTATTGTTCGGCAATGTGCATTATAAAATCACTTGAGATAAACTTATAGGCAGTTTTAGAAATAAATTTATCCTTTTGAAAGGTTGATCCTCGTTCGTTCAAAGTAATTCTTTAAGAACCATGTGTTCTTAGCAAAAAATAGCGAAAAATAACTGAAAAATACCAAAAAAGCTAAACAATTGGATACTATTATATTTATACAATATATGTACCAAGCAACTAATATAATAATTATCCCGATAAGAGTATATGAATTTTAGATAAGAAAGTCTATTCTAGATAAAATTAATTGTCATTCAAACATGCCCGTATCTTATTTCTTTTCCTCTATTCTTATTGCTGTCCCTGGTATCCTTGTTTCCAAGTGGGCTAGCATTGATAGTTTGTGGATCGCGTGTGTTGATGTCGTGAGATACTTTTGTGTTTCAGATTGATATGGAACGACTTGCATCTTCTCTTCCTTTGCACCTTATCGCCATCCTTATTTCTTCAATGGAAGATGATTTGAGCTTGAGATACATCCTGTGTGGAGTTCGTCTTCTGCACTCGTTATGTGAACTTGCATCTAGGCATGCAAAACTCGAACAGGTGCTTCTGTTGAATTCTGCAAAAGATGTCTTTTCATTGGGAAGTGGTTATTGACATCTGTAATTGTAACTAGAAAAGGGTTCGACCATTATTATCTAGATGATTGATCATTGATTGTTTTCTTTTATTGGGTTTCCTCATTTGCATAGTGCTCAATGAAATATATTTTAATCAATTCAAAATCATTTCCGCTCTGTATTGGATCAATCGTTGCTTATGAGGAAAGGCTCATTTTTTTTTTTTTTTGATTAGTGTTGACATTTATATTATACAAGAAGAATTACAGCAGATACAAAACATAGAGAGGACCCTGAGAGTGGGTCTCTCGTAAACAAGAAAAACCGGGTTTATAAAAGTGCCCTATACCTATACCCCATAATGGGGAGAGTACATAAAAAGAATAGAGAGAGACAAAAATAAAACACAGCTAAGGGTAGGGTCTCAGGTCCAAAAGCGAGGTGGCTATGGTGCTGCAAGCAAGTCTACGGTACTTTCCTAGCTCCGTCTTTCGCTAATAGGTCTGCGAATTTGTTTGACGTCCTTCAAATATGTCTCTATGAGGCATCCATATCCCTGCATAATTGAGCAATCTCATCAAATATAGAGGTTAGATACCAAGGTGGTGGAGTTGTCCCATTAGCCCATGCTATCACATTTTTGGAGTCTCCTTCAATCTGAAGTTTGGTACCCCATGCTAAATTAAAGGATCTAAGACCATAAAGCAGGACCAAGGCTTCAGCAAATTGTGAGTCGTAGTGGCCAAGATATTCAGAGAAGGTAAATAAGATCTGGCTATTATGATCTCTGAAAACCCCCCCCACCCTTGTGTGACCAGGGTTCCCAATTGAGCACCCTTCAAATTTGAACTTGATTGTTCCTTCATGTGGGGGCCGCCACCTATTGGCTCTTTTTGATTTTCGAGGCCTGTGTTTTTGCCAGTGCGAGAGAAAAGAATTCACTGATATGCCCGAGAACAACTTATGATTTGAGGCCCAAAAAATTACTTGGGAGGTAATCTTGTGAAATAGTGCCTGAGAGTTGTTAGGTTGTCCTTGGAAGGTCCAGGAATTTCTCTCTTTCCATATGGTCTAAATGGTTGCAGCTACTGTCGCCCCCCACAGTATCTTACTTGCTTTAGGCCAGTGTGCCGCTAAGTCCATTGAGTAAAGGACTTTTGGGGATGGTGGAGTAACCCAGAAAATATTAAACAACTTCAATACTTGAGTCCACAGTTCATAGGCAATGCTACAGTGGATGAATAAATGAGGGTTGGTTTCTTCCTTGCTTTGGCACATAGCACATCTGTTGGGCATTTGACAGCCTCTGTTATGCAATTGATCCACAGTTAGTGCTCTATGAGCAATAGCAATCCAATTGAACATTTGGATTTTGGGAGGGGCTATAGTGGACCAAGCCTTCGAGAGCACTGATATGGGATTGAGAGGGTGGGTTGGTTATGAGAAAGGCTCATTAAGGTGGTTCTCTAAGAGATTGAAATTTTCATTTCTTTCATACTCCATTATAGGCTAATGTAACACTGATATCTTGATTATTATCTAATTTTTTTTTTTGAAAGAAAGTTCACATTGTATTACTGGAATTTTGTGTACAATAATTTGTAAGTCTGAGTTCACCTGCTAGGGGTGGATCGGTAAAAAACAGTCAGCGTATTATAAACAAAAAGGGGCTTATAGGTTCTGCCTAATTTAGAAGATTTACATAAAGCTTTCAAAAAATTGCAAAAAATATAGGAGGCCTATAATTGCCAACTAATACGATATGTTGAAGGGTTGTGCCAAAGGTCCTGTGCAAAAAAGGAGTCGGCCCTGGCTTGATCTTGTACTTGCAAACTAGTTCCCTCTTTCGCCAAGCAATTTGCGAAGTCGTTGGACGTCCTCCATATATGCCTCCAGGAGACGTCCATATCCCTGCAAATATGGTCAATTTCATCAAAGATAGTGGTTAGGTACCATGGTGGAGAAGTAGTCCTACTAGCCCATGAGAGAACACTTTTTGAATCTCCTTCTATGATGAGGTGAAAGCCCCAAGAGCGGTTGAACTTTTTCATGCCTTGTAGGAGGGCCAAGGCTTCTGCATTATGTGCATCCTTGAAACCAAGATGCTCTGAGAATGTAAGCGGTACGTTGCCTTGGTGGTCGCTAAATACCCCCCCAACGCTAGCCGGGCCAGGATTTCTGAAGGAGCATCCATCAAAATTTAATTTAATGATTCCTTGTGGTGGTGGTTGCCAAATGTTGGATCTTTGTGGCTGTCGTGGATGGTGATGTAGAATATTTTTCCATTGGGGAAAGAACACATTCCTTGGTATACCCGAGTAGACCTTGTGATTCGAGGCCCAGAAAGAAACCAAGGAAATGGTCTTGTGCAAGAGTGTTGAAACTTGTAGTTTTGAACCTTGGAATATTTTGTTGTTTCTTTCCATCCAAATGGTCCATAAGGTTGCCGCTAAGGTAGGCTTCCAAAGGACTCTACCAGCCTTTGGCCATTGAGAATGTAGATCATAAGAGATGAGCGCTTTGACAGTAGGGGGAGTGACCCATTCTATGCCGAAGAGTAGCAATATTTTTCCCCGTCTCCAATCGTTGTAGCAACTGGTTGTTCTTGTGATAGTCCCACTCTACCATCAAATCACTGGTTGAGGATGTAGCAAGACAGTAAGACTTCTCACTTGATACATATGCTCAATCTACTCAAAATAGTTTCCCTACTTTTCATTAGAAGTAGTATTCTTCATTCCATAGCCTCCAAACTTGGAATTGAACTACATTTTTTAAAATAGCCCTTTTCCTGCATTCCATTCCATCCCCAGATATCCCAGGTCTCATTACTTGTCTTGCAAGTCTCCCTACTTTCATCGAGTTAACTTGTAATTCCATTTCTTCCTTCAATGGGTCTTCAGCACAGGTGACTCCATTTGCGTTGAGGCTAGCATCTTTGCTTGAAGGTCTTTCTAGGTTCGATCCTAGCTGGGGGGTAAGTGTCTTATGGAAGGGGATAATGCCAATATCATTCTTTGGGCTAACAAGAGACGCCAGTGTCCATGGCGTCTAGCTCCTTTTGATCCTGTCTTTCATTTGTGCAAACATCTTCAAGTCGGCTTCCGTCATGCTTTGTGGGAGGTTAATGCTGAGGCCAATGCTTTTGCTAAGGAGGGTGCTTCCTTCTCATGGCCCTTACTGATTTCATGATCCCTTTTACTTCTCTTTCTTGACTGATTATGGGTTTCTCACCTTCTTTCCTTTACCACTCTCTTTGCGCTTTTTCTACCACTTTCTTCCTCCTTTTTTATCTTCTGTTGTCTTCTTTTTTGCAGGTATAACTGGATATAACTGCAGGTCGAGCACCTAGTTTGTGGGCTTCCTCTATCTATTGTCTTATTATAGCTGAGCACCTGGTTTGTGGGTGGTCACTATATTCTTTTTTGATGTTCGCACCCTACTAGGTGCCCTCTCTGCCCCCCTCCCCCCCCCCTCCCAAAAAAAACACCCCTTCTCTTCTATTCTTTCTTAGATTACTTTTGAACTAGTATATTTTTTTATAGTTCACACGTCAAGGTTGAAAGGTGTAGCTATGTGGAACTCAAGGTATTACATTCAAAAATTTCTTTTTACTTTTATTCCAAATACTTGAATTCCACTTACATGTGGCATAATATATTGCTGGAAAATAAAAACAATGCCTAAATACAACCTAGGATCTTTATTTCATTGTCAAGAGAAATAGAAACTATCAAGGAACTTTAAAATAGCCTCTATAATAATTTTTAGCACAATATAAGTTCCTGAATATAATGGCCTCTATAATAATTTTTAAAATAGCCTCTATAATAATTTTTAACACAATATAATAATTTTTAACACAATACAAGTTCCTTTGAAAAATACAACAAACCCTAGTTTAGGGTTTCTCCTAGAAAAATAAGCCACCTCTATTTTTTTTTTTCAAGGCAAAAAAAAATAGAGAGAGAGATGTGGCGTGCCTCTCTTTTGCTTAAAAGAGAGAGAGATAGAAGGTGGCATGAGAGAGGTCCCCCCAATTGGTGTGTGAAGGAGAGAGACCCCCCAAATTGGTGCGTGAGGGGGAGAGAGATCTCCCCGAATTGGCGCGTGAGGGAGAGAGAGATCTTTTGGAGAGAGAGAAATAAGATCTAATGATTAGATCTCAAAAAGGTTCAAACTCTTTCTTAAATAGAAGAAAAACTTATCTCCTAGTTTAAATAGGATTCCTACCTTGTCTAATTTTTAGCAAAACCTTTTAGGTTAACTAGGAAATCTGTGGGGTGAGAGATTAATCAGAGCTATCCATCCCAAAAATCGGCTGTCATGATTTTGGGTGGATAAATTAGGAACCTTATCCCTTTAGACTTTGACCTAATGCACTCCTATTTAAAATCAAACCAATCAAATTTAAACTTTATCCCTTTTAAATTTGAAATCAAACTTATAATATTTTCTAGATAAATCTAATATAGATTTCCCACAATATTGGGAAACCATATCAATAGATTTCTCATCTTTAGATTTATCATGTTTAAATTTGAATTTCAAAGAAATAAGGGGCGTGCCCTTTACTTCCCAAAAAAAAGGCGAGGAGGGATTGTTCCCCTATTTGCTTGCCACTATGTTACCAAAAATAGTGGTGTGCCCTTATTTTGTTAAAATATTTGGCGTGCCCCTATTTTGTTAAAATATTTGGTGTGCCACCGTTTAGCTAGAAAGGTGGCGTACTCCCCCTTTAGCATTAAAAATAGGGCGTGCCAAATATGATATACAAAAATAGGCGTGTTCCCTAGGGTGCATGGCGTGCCACATGTGGGGCTGGATCCTTGGTCCCTAGGGTGCATGGCATGCCAAATATGATATACAAAAATTGCAGTTAGCTTATTTATTTATTCTCACGTCACAGTTGTAGTTAATCACAACATGGAAACCTAAAATTTAAAGTGGAATGCTAAGTATGATTACTGGGTTGTCCTTTATTTTATCTTGTTTTAACTTACTTTTTGGAAAATTACTTGTAAAACTTGGTCACATGGTTTTGTTGTGGTAATAACAACGTGCATGGATCTGGTCAATGTGTAGAGCATAGGTGGATACTTTTTGGCTTGGATTTAACAATCTAATGGATTGAGTTGAGTTGGCTTAAAACTTAAATGAGTCCACTCTTTGAAATGTGAAGCTATTCAATAAATCATTCCTGATGCCGCTTTGAGTGAAATCTTCTGGACTATGAATGAGGAGGAAAGGATAGTTTGGATTTGGAATGAGTATGGTCTATGAGATGAACTAGATATTGTAGACTTTGTTTTCACATTTTATGGATTTGTCTTCTTTTTATATGAATCTTGGTCTCTTTTTGTGGACTTGGCTAGACATAGATTGTGTGGACTTTGTCTTCATTTTGTTTAAATCCCATTTCTTTTTGTGGACTTGGCTAGATATAGATTTTGTGGACTTTCCATTTTGTTTTGATCTTAGTTTCCCATTGCTTTTGATATGGTCTTGCGGTGCTTCTTATTGAGTATCAATGATACTCTCATGATGTATGGCGTATATTAAATATGAGGATGTGATAGGTAAGCATGTGTGTCAATGGCTTATTTTGTATAAATTTAATAATTGGTAAAAAATTTTCCTTTCATAAATATGTTAAGTATTGGAAAAGAAGAAGATAGAGAAGAAGACTTGATTTTGAGTCTTGTGAAAAGTACTTTTGGGGTGCACTCCCTTGCAGACCTAGAGAGAGGGTATTATCTCTCACCTTTAGGGTATGTTTGACAGAACATGATTTAGATATTCAATTTTTTAGAAATTTGAATAAAGGCATTGCTTGCTTTGTGTATATTTAGATTTTATATTATGATGATATGTCTTTTTATGTGCACGTTTGGCTGTCTAATTGCATTTCAAAATTTTTGTAGATTTGTAATTTTTTGACTTTTTGGCTGACAAATTATAACTCATTGATTTTTTATATTTGACACATATTTGATGATGGGTTTGTTCCATGAAGATGAGACCGAACTGGCAATCAACTGGTACAGGAATGTAAGGCGAAAGAGATAGGATATGGGGATATCATCAAGGAGGCCTGGAATCAAGTGCTCTGGCTCTTGCATGGGTCTTGATCTAGTTTTGTTCTTCGGAGCTTGAACTTAGCTTCAATGGCAGATGTTGGGGTTCTGAGGAGGGGATAGCTTCATTGGTGGATGTTGTTCTCCCTCTCTAAGATGTTGATCTCTCACGAGACTTTCCCTCTCTAAGATGTTGATCTTTCTGCGCAACTTTTTGATGAGAGAGAGAGAGAGAGAGAGAGAGAGAGAGCGAGAGAGAGAGAGGTAGTGAGTTGAATCATAGAAGCGGAGTGTGAGTGGAGGAGGAGAGAGAAGAGTGAGTGTAGTGTAGTGGTGAGAGGAGGGAGAGAGAGTGAACGAAAGTAGTTTAGAGGTACGTAACGTAAACGTACGTAAACGTTAACCCGTTAAAACGTTACGT